GTCAGAGAGGAAGGGAGAGAGAGAGACAGGAACATCAGTGATGAGACAGAATCATTATTGGCTGCCTCCGCATGCCCAACACCAGGGATCAAATTCACAACCTGGGCATGTGCCCTGACCAGGAATTAAACCATGACCTCCTGATTCATAGGTCGATGCTCAACCACTGAGCCACACTGGCTGGGCATAAATATACAATTTTGAGAATACAAAATGTTTACAAATATAGGTTACAGAAAGTGTCCTCAAACTACGCAAATATCCAGGTACCACCTAAGCCTGCCCAGGTGGACTCTCTGAAGATGGGCCCAGAAACCTGCAATTCCAACACCGTTTTCAGGTGGGTCCTTCGCACATTATGAGGATCATTTCAGGCGGAAATGTCTTAGGTTCCCATTTTATTTAAAAAAAAATATTTTTATTAATTTCAGAGAGGAAGGGAGGGAAGAGGGACAGAAACATCAATGATGACAGAGATCACCGACTGGCTGCCTTCTGCACGCCCCCCACTGGGGATTGAGCCTGCAACCCGATCATGTGCCCCCGACCGGAATCGAACCCAGGAACTTCCAGTCCACAGGCTGATGCTTTAATCCACTGAGCCAAACCGGCTAGGGATAGGTTCCCATTTTAAATGAGCCCAGTTCTTGGGTCCTTAAGAGCCTCAGGTTTCTGATTTAAGGGCAGAATACCGCTCAGGCAGAGCCGGTTGCACTCACTGCAGACATAGGCTGTCCTCCCACTTCCTGCACACAGATGTCTCCGCGTGTGATTCCCACTAGGTGTTGCCTCCAGGAGCACATAGCCACAGAGCCTGTGTGGGCTCCCCATTTTGGAGAGAAGGGACGTGAATAGTACCCCAGGACCTCAGACACACATTCTGGGACTCCAGTGGCACCTTCATTGAAGGTGCTTACTGAGTGGAACCTGCTTAGATGTCTGGACAAGAATGTCAAACAACATTCACTTACCCCTAACCGGTTTGGCTCAGTGGATAGAGTGTCGGCCTGCGGACTGAAAGGTCCCAGGTTCGATTCCGGTCAAGGGCATGTACCTTGGTTGCGGGCACATCCCCAGTAGGGAGGTGTGCAGGAGGCAGCTGATCGATGTTTCTCTCTCATCAATGTTTCTAGCTCTCTGTCCCTCTCCCTTCCTCTCTGTGAAAAATCAATAAAATATATTTAAATAAAGAAAAATAAGAACAACAACATTCACTTTGCTGAATCTGTTGGGCGGGTCCTTCCTCCCAGGCTCCACCTTCTGAAAGCTGCAGAACTGTGTTGGTCGCAGCAGCAGGGCCAACTGTCCCAAGAAGCAAGTCCCCACCAGCCCTGTACAGACCGCCCATCACAAGGTGGTCCCCTATGAATGACAAGGGCTGTTACCTAAAGGATGTTATGGAAGGTACCAGGGAACTGCCTGAAGGACCTTGGGGAAATACATTGAGTAATTGTGGCTATGCCAATTCCCACACGTCTTATTTGTTGTTAATCCTCACTTGAGATTATTTTTTTCCATCGAGAGTGGGAGAAAGAAGGGGGAGAAATATCCATAGCTTGCCTCCTACACTGGTCCTGACCGGTGCTGGTGATCGAACCTGTAACCCAGGTACGTGCCCTTGACCAAGAATCAAACCCAAGACCCTCTGGTGTACAGGCCAACGCTCTAACACTGAGCCACACTGGTTAGGGCCACACACTTTCCTCTTCAGAGGGATCCTGCCTAGTTGTCCCATGATACCAACTCCCTCAGGCCCACAGTGACTTCCTGATAAGGTTTCTGCAGTATCAAGTCTTAAAAACATAGCCCCGCCCTAACTGGTTTGGCTCAGTGGATAGAGCGTTGGCCTGCGGACTGGAGGGTCCCAGGTTCGATTCCGGTCAAGGGCATGTACCTTGGTTGCGGGCACATCCCCAGTAGGGAGTGTGCAGGAGGCAGCTGATCGATGTTTCTCTCTCATCGATGTTTCTAACTCTCTATAGGCAGCTGATCGATGTTTCTCTCTCATTGATGTTTCTAACTATCCCTCTCCCTTCCTCTCCATAAAAATCAATAAAATATATTAAAAACAAAACAAAAAAACAAACAAAACAAAACATAGCCCATCCAGCGTGGCTCAATGGTTGAGCATCAATCTATGTACCAGGAAGTCAGGATTCAATTCCAGGTTGGGGCACATGCCTGGGCTGTGGACTCCATCCCTAGTGTGGGGAGTGCAGGAGGAAACTGATCAGTGATTCCCGCTCATCATTGATGATTTTGTTTCTCCCTTCCTCTCTGAAATCAATAAAAAACAAACAAATAACATTAACCATCTTTAATTCCAGTGACTTCTAAGAAGCCAAGACTTTCTGTCCTAGTGGAACCTACTATAATGAGCCAAACAGGAGAGTCTGACGTATTTTCCTCTCACTCCTGCTGTTTAAATTGCCAATTTACTTTTACAAAAATAGTGAATCAAAAAAAGGGAAAGTGTACATAATCCCACAAATCAATTGCAATTGTCCTCATGTACATTGTTTTGCTCACCTATAGTTACATATACGAAGTTACTCAAAGAAGTGTGCCAGGAAGGAAAGACAGGCTTGAAGTGGAAAGCAACGGTCTCCTGCTCCACCCTACCCAACAGTCACATTCCACCAACTACTTTTAACTGTTAATTCCAGTTCCTAAATAAGGCTATGTCTGTAATTCTGATCTTTCATGGTTTATACACTTTACCGCCTTCCTTCTTTGATACGGAATTAAGATTTTACTTAGTTCTGTGATCCTCTTTTTGATTCTAATTTTTGTCCTATCACTGTTTCATGTTCTAATTTTGGCCTCCTAAGTAATTTATTCTATTTAAAAGCTAACTTCCTAAGATGAGGATACAGAGAAACTCCCCTACACCCCACCCCTAAATTTGCCATTACACCTCTGAGTTTCTTTGTAAAATGCAAAACCAGCACCTACTGTTTATACTATAGTTATAAAAATAGTGTTTACTGAAGGGCCAAGCAAAACAATCTGAGTATGTTTCTCCCTCTTTTATTCCAATCTCATGAGTCCTCTGCCTTTTCTAGGATGAAATATTAACATCACAGTCAAATGAAGACTCCTTTCTAAAGTCTGGTTCACACCTGCACAACTGTCTTGTATAATATTTCTTTTTAACAATTTGTTTACCCTAAAGTTCCGATACACACCCCCTTCTCCCTCACCCTTAGAACACTTTAAAAAAAAATTCCTTTTCTTAGTTTCAAACTTATACTCTCCAGAAGTTTCTGCAATGTTTTCTTGACTACAGTATTGTCAATTTCTCATGCTACATGGATCCCACTAATCCTGGACAGTATTTGGCATGATCTTAAGATTTTCTTTCAGCTCTGCAGGGGTTTCCTTTTCTTCTCCAACTTTTTTTTTTAGCAAATTATAGTGTATTTTTGTTGTCATAACTCTTTAAGAGTTATCTTAGACTAATTTTCATTTGCAATTATTTCTTGGCTCAACCTCCATTTTAAATGTTTGGTTCCCCGAGTATCTGTTCTTTTTTTAAAAAAATCTATTTTTCCTTTCACATTGAAAGCTTTCAAGTCTCTTGCTCCCTACCTTCCATCTATATTGAAGAGACTATCTGAAAAAACATGGGCGCCTCCATAGATGGATGGGGAGGGAAGCTAGTTTAATGGCAAGATTTGCTTTGAAGGGAGTAGGGCCAGAACCAGGTATTAGGATGAAGGTAACTGAGATGCCAAGAAAAGGCAGCCCTTGTTCTGGAGCATAATTCACCAATCTCCTAGTCTCCAGACTAAATTTTTTTTTTTTTGGGGGGGCGGATACCTCATTTACTCCCTATTTTATTTTGCTCACCCACAGGCAGATAATGAAAAACAAGAAAGGGGAGGAAACTTGGAATTTCACCAACAGACCATCAGTTAACCCTGCTTTTCTGCCCCAACTGTTAGTCTGAAACTCTGTCAAGGGGCTGAGACCTCCAGCGCCATAGCCCTCTCTTCATGGTCCTGGCTTTAGCCTTTTCCACTCTGCATCTCCAGGTGATGGTCTCCCACCTGCTTTCACTTTGCTCAAATCTGCAGTAATGGCCTCTCCACTTTACCATTATTGATATACACTTCAGCCTTTTTTTGGGGGAACAAATCTTCCAACACCTTATCATTTCTAGGAATGTATTATAGGGATAACATCTGATTAAGTTTGGGTGGTTGTTTGCAATAAAATGATAATCCGATGGACACAGTTCCATTCTGAATTTCCTATTTCCTGCTAAAAGCTTTGAAAGCTTTCCATCAGTTGTCATGTTCATACCCTCTCACCTAAATGTATACGTACACACATTTTAGTGCACATACAAGTAACTTGTGCTGGTTTGGGAAATGACAGGCTCTTGGGTTTTATTGATGGAGATCCTGACTTCGTAAATCAGGGTAAGCTTGGTAATCTGCAGTTTCAATGTACACACCAAGCAATTCTGATGCATGTGGTTGTCTGATGTCTAGAAAAGAAGTTCTGGCATTGAGCTCTTCCATCTTAATTACTGATAGGGTTTCTCTACCCTGAGTTTTCTCATATTGAATAAGGGATTTATAATAATTGAAAGCCTTCTCACATTCACTACACTTATAGGGTTTCTCTCTAGTATGAAAAGGCCTTTTCATAGTGTTTACATTTATAGGGTTTGATGCCAGTGTGTTCTCTGGTGCATAATGAGATCTCTATTTGAAACCTTTTGTACAATGACTGTATTAATAAGGTTTCTTCCCTCTAGAATGAATTTGCAGATACACAAGCTGTGATCACTGATAAAAAGTTTCCCCACAGTGGTTACATTCATAGGGCTTCTCTCCAGTGAGAATCCTTTTATGTGCAACAAAGATAGAGTTACAGCAAGATTTTCCCCAATAAGCACACAAATATGGTTTCTCTCCAGTGTGAATTCACTGATGCCTGGTAAGGTGACTGCCCCATAAAGAACTTTTTCACAATGATTACATTCATTCATGGGGTTTCTCGACCATGTGTGTCTTCTCATGTTTTTTAAGAGCTAAACGACCACTGAAGGCTTTAACACACATGGTACACTGATAGGGCTTCTCTCCAGTGTGTGTTCTCTGATGCACAATGAGGAGATATCTCTGGCTGAAGGCTTTAACACAAATTTTACACTTATAGGGCTTCTCTCCAGTGTGTGTTCTCTGATGAACAATGAGGCCAGATCTCTGGCAGAAAGCTTTCCCACAATGACTGCATTCATAAGGTTTCTCTCCAGTATGGGTTCGCTTGTGCACGACAAGCTGTGACTGTTGCCGAAAAGATTTGCCACACTGGTCGCAGTGGTAGGGTTTCTCGCCAGTGTGTGTTCTCTCATGTTTTCTAAGAGATGACCCATCACTGAAGGCTTTCCCGCAGTCAATACACTCATAAGGCTTTTCTCCAGTGTGTGTTCTCTGATGCAGAATGAGGTGAGACCTCCATTTGAAAACTTTCCCACAATGATTGCATTCATAAAATTCCTTCTCTCCAGCATGAGTTCGCAGATGCGCACGAAGTTGTTTTCGCTCCCAAAAAGATTTCCCACAGTGGTTACACTCGTATGGTTTCTCTCCACTGTGAATCCTTTTATGTGCAACAAAGTCAGAGCTACGGCTGAAGGAGTTTCCACAGTGAGTACACAAGTACGGTTTCCCTCCACTATGAATTCTCTGATGCCTAGTAAGGTGACGCTGCCGGTTAAAGAACTTTTCACAATCATTACAATTATGGTGTTTCTCACCTGTGTGGGTTCTCTTGTGTTTTATAAGTGCTGACTGACCACTAAAGGTTTTAACACACAGGTGACACTGATAAGGCTTCTCTCCAGTGTGCGTTCTCTGATGTGCAACGAGGAGATATCTCCATTTGAAAGCTTTTTCACAGTGACTGCAGGCATATGGCTTCTGTCCAGTGTGTGTCCTCTGGTATGCAAGCTCAGAGCAACAGCTGCGGGATTTTCCACCTAGATTACATGCATGTGGCTTCTTTCTGGTCTGGATGATGTCACCTTCATGAACAGATGAGGCCGTGCAGAAGGCACCATAGTCCTCCTCACATCCAGGATCACCGACCATCATTTCAATTTGTACAACGCGTTTGTCACATGTGTACTGACTTTCTCCAAAATGCACTGGCTTGTTTTCATTCAGGGACATGCTGTGCTTAACATTTCCATTTTCCTTACAATCATCTCTGTTCTCTACTGAAAAACTTCTATTATGGAAACGCACAGATGTGCCATAGTGGGAAGAGTCACTGTCGATAGTATAATCATAAGGCTTATTATTTCCCATTTTAACATTTATAAGTTTATTCAAGTGAATGCTCTGAGAGAAGGCCCTGGCACTTTCAAGATTTCCACAGGGCTGCAGATGGGCACCACCTTTCTGATGATTAACGAAAACTGAATTCTGTTTCAACTCTTGAAACTGTGAGTCAAGCTTGTGCAAACGTGTTCTTGCAGGTAATGTCAGAGGTAGAAGGCTTTCACTCAGATAACTTCCGCCAAGGTCATGCTCACAATGTTCCACTTTAGCAAACACATGCTCCCCCGAGGTAGGTGCGATCTGACTCAAAGATTCCTCCTGGTGCCCCTCTGGCTGGTCCCTCCAATCCTGTGTTTTTCCTACTGACACAGACCAGGGGCCCTCTACACAGCGTTTCATTTCCACGTGGAAGGATGGTTCTTCCACACCAATATCCTCTTCAGAACTGGACTCTTTCTTTGCAAGTGAAGTCTTCCACTCTGAAAGAAATCCAAAATGCCTGAATTACTGCAAAAGCCTTAGATGGGAAGGAGAATGACGGAAAACACCAAGTATGAGAGGTGTCTCTGGGTTTGTTTAGAGTCCATGAGCTATAATTCCATGCAGGATGTAAAAGAGTGCGAAGGACCAGCAAATAGGAAATCAGTGAAGAAGCACAAAAAACAAGCAAAGGTAATGAAGAGTTGACTGAGGAGAGCTGATACCCAAAGAGGGAGTAGGGAAATAAGAATACGCATGAGCCCTACCTAGCCGGTTTGGCTCAGTGGATAGAGTGTCGGTCTGCGGACTAAAGGGTCCTGGGTTCGATTCCGGTCAAGGGAACATGCCTGGGTTTCAGCCTCAATCCCCAGTGGGGGGCGTGTAGGAGGCAGCCAATCAATGATTCTCTCTCATCATTGATGTTTCTATCTCTCCCTCTCTCCTTCTCCCTTCCTCTCTGAAATCAATAAGGATATATATATCTTTATTGATTTCATATATATGTGAATAAGCACGAGAATGTAAGTATTTCTTTTTAAAATATATTTTATTGATTTTTTTACAGAGAGGAAGGGAGAGGGATAGAGAGTTAGAAACATCGATGAGAGAGAAACATCAATCAGCTGCCTCCTGCACACCCTCGACTGGGGATGTGCCCGCAACCAAGTACATGCCCTTGACCGGAATCGAACCTGGGACCCTTCAGTCTGCAGGCCGACGCTCTATCCACTGAGCCAAACCGGTCAGGGTGAGAATGTATAGAAGGAACTGAACTGAGGATATGTGGTCCTCAATAAGCACAAAAGATACTGATGCCCAGTTGCTGGGACCTGTGAATATGGTACCTTATTTATTTTTTCAATATGTTTTTAATTAATTAATTAATCCCCACATGAGGATATTTTTCTATTGATTTTTTTAGAGCAAGTGGAAGATAGAGGGAAAGACAGAAACATCGATGTAAGAGAAACATATTGATTGGTTGCCTTCTGCACGAGTCCGGAACAGGGCCCAGGCCAGGGAGGAGTCTGCAACCAAGGTACATGCCCTTGACCGGAATTGAACCTAAGACTCTTCAGTCCCCAGGCTGACGCACTATCCACTGAGCAAAACTGTCTAGGGCTCAAATATGTTTGACAGGGAAAGACAGAAACATCGATGTAAGAGAAACACATTGATTGGTTGCCTTCTGCACGAGTCCGGAACAGGGCCCAGGCCAGGGAGGAGTCTGCAACCAAGGTACATGCCCTTGACCGGAATTGAACCTAAGACTCTTCAGTCCCCAGGCTGACGCACTATCCACTGAGCAAAACTGTCTAGGGCTCAAATATGTTTTTATTGATTTCAGAGAGAGGAAGGGAGAGGAAGAGAGGGACAGAAAGATAACTGATGAGAGAGAAACTGAAAGGAGACCCGAGGACTGCTTCCTCAGATGGAAGCTATGATGAGGGGCTGGTGAAAAAGAGAGGTCAGGAGGACCTGGGAACAAGACAAGGTGGCTGAAGGGTAAAGAAGAGAGGGAAAATGGGAACAAAAATAAACCCAGGCCCGAGAAATGTGCAGACGACAGTAGCGAGTGTTCTTGCTGGGCTGGACACGTGGATGACGACATGGCTGTCTTGCTGGACATGAGGAGGCAGCAGAGAACGCCGAGGAAGCTCCTGCAAATGGCCTCCCTCCTCCTCTGCCCAAGTTAACTAAATGCTCTCACCTCCGGGAGGCAGTTCCTGCTCCGCCCTCCATGGACCAGCACCTCGCTCCAGGCAGGAGATCACATCCACAGTGGGGAGCAGAAGTCCTGGTCAATAGGGAAAAACACAGTACTTGATGCTCTGCTTCCAGAGAAAGAGATTGTGTCCCCAGGCCCAGCCCTCTCCCTTGGGGTCAGACAGGCATGGACTAGGAGGGCCCGGGAGCCATTCCTAGGAAATAAGTCACAAACATGCAGTGGAGGCTGACTGAACAGCAATACCCAGGATCTGCATCTAAAAGGGACTCACTTCTGTCCTGAGTATAGGGTTAGCTCTTAAAGGCACCAGAGGACAATTTAAGATGAAGGAAAAACAAACAAACAAACAAACAGAAATATATATATATATATATTCTGTAATTTTACAAAATATAAGGTGTTCTAGCAGAATAACTGAATAGACAGTCCAGAAATATAAGTTTCCTCCTAAGAGAAAGGATTATCAGGTCTTTATAATAGAGTTTCTCTTTACTATAAAGAATGACAGTTATCTGTGGACCTTACTAAAGTGTAGGTTCTATTATTTGCAAGCAAGCAAACACACACACACACACACACACACACAAAGTGACCCACTTTGGGGATGTTTCACCCCAGCACACCCTTGGAGTCAGAGCTGGGAGTCCTAGGGGCCTGGGGATGCTTCACCCCAGCACAAGCACACCCTTGGAGTCAGAGCTGGGAGTCCTAGGGGCAGAAAGCCCATGCGATGGGTAGAGCCCAACTTACCCAGAGAGACAAGGTGGTCACATGTCTCCAGAGTCACGTCGCGGTACAGTGTCCTCTGGACCAGGTCCAGCTGTCCCCACTCCTCACGTGTGAAGCTCACCACCACATCCTTGAAGCTCACAGGTAGCTGAAACATCGCCTGTGTTACCATGGGGCCCTGCCTCCCCGACAGGAAGGTTGAGGAGGGCAGGACAGCGAAGGGAGGGCGGTGGTGTGGGATGGAGAAGGTGTCCAGAGCATCACAGGGTTCCCGCCTCTGGGCGGTGCTCTGAGCAGACACCAATGCAGTCCACAGCGTCTTCACTTCTGAGGGCCTGTCTGCTGCTGGTCACACCAGTGATTCTGACTTTCTGTCCCAGGAAACAGTGGGAACCCCACTCCCTACTTTTCCACAAAATCACAAATTTAAAGGAACTCAAAGAGGATGTTCAAAATCGTAGATGAGCAAAACACAGCCCGGCAGACAGGCCAAGACTGTGTGTGCTTTCAGAAGGTTAATGCCATGAGCTAAATTGTTCTCCCCCAAATTCACATGTTGAAGTCCTACCCCACCATGTGACTGCATTTGGGGAGAGGGCCTTTATGAAAATAATTTTAATGGGGGTTCTATGGGCAGAGCCCTAATGCAGTGGGATTGGTGCCCTCAAAAGGAGACCACCAGAGACTTCTTTCTCCACCACTGAGGACACAGAGAATTAGCAAGCGAGGAAGAGGGTCGTCAGGAAACCAACTGTGCTGGCCCTTGGTCTCAGACTGTTAGGTTTCAGAACCATGAGAAAATGAATGTTGCCTGAGCCACACAGTCCGTGCTATTTTGTTACAGCAGCTGCAGTAGACCAAATACAGCTAAAAATGGGTTTTACTTTTTTTCAAAGGCCATGTACAGAAAGAACATGGGGGAGAGAGCAGAGCCTAAAGCAGTTCCCACCACCTGGTCCTTTACAGAAAACACCGGTAGAGCAGGCGTTCAAGGAAGGCTGGCAGGTGAGGGGTCATGCACCCTGGCCCTGGGTGCCAGGCCTGATGTGGCATCTCAGCTTCACAACTGAGTAGCTGGATTCCTGGGTGAGTCCCTGAACTTCTCAGGTGTGAGCTGCCCTGACGTGACCATGAAGGCAGCATCCCACTCGGGACATCTCACAGGACACGAGGTAAAGAGACCTGGCCCAGGGCACCAGGTACAGGAGGCCCCAGGAACCCCTGGCTCACCCACACAGGGAAGGAGCTGTATCTGCAGGGAGCCCGGGGGTCTCACCCAAAGGAATAAGGCAGCATCATGGGCTCCTGGGGAGGCGAGTGCTATCTTCCTGGACCCACTTTACAGCTGAGGAGACAGCGAGGCAAACATAGCCAAGGTCTCTAACTCACCTGGGACGGGACTGGCTGAGCACACACTTCCATTTCCTCCTCAGACCTGAAGAAGCCGTCTCAGAGGGGGCAGCCGTCCTCAGGGGGCAGTGCTAGTGGTGGAGGCACAATCAGGGAGTCAGCCCCTCCTCAGCACCCCCACACCCTCGAGCCCACCCCACCCCCAAAAAGGAGAGGAATGTTCCAGCTGAGGGGCATTGCCTTTGGGTATGAGGAGCAGGAAGGCAGGACTCTGAGGAAAGCCACGCCGGCTTTCCAGTGGGGAAGCGGGTCCAGCCTGCTCAGGTTTGGGCTGGGCATGGTCCTGAGCTGCCCCCAGGCTAAAGGTAAATGCTCAGGCATGTGCTGTGGTGTCTTAACTGTGATCTCACAGATACACAGTTTTCCCTCAACATACAAACAAACAGACCATTTTTTTTTCCTGTCATTTCAAGAGAATGAATGGGAGAGGTAAAGGCAAGGTGTTAAAGCAATTGTATAATTTTTAATTATTTCAATGAGCCTGGTCGGTGTGGCTCAGTGGTTAACGTCTACCTACGAACCAGGAGGTCACGGTTCGATTCCCGGCGAGGGCATACGCCTGGGTTATGAGCTCGATCCCCAGTAGGGGGCGTGCAGGAGACAGCCGAGATGTTTCTATCTCCCTTCATCTCTGAAATCAATTAAAAAATATATAAAATATTTCAATGAAACATCTAATGGTTTGAAAAAAAAAAAAGAAAGAAAAGAAAACCTGTACAGTTCGCAAACAACAGTGAAACATGACCTGGTTTCAAAAAATGTTTTTGCACAATTTATTTTTTTTAACTGATCTCACAGAGACAGTTTTCCCTCAACATACAAACAAACAGACCATTTTTTTTTCCTGTCATTTCAAGAGAATGAATGGGAGAGGTAAAGGCAAGGTGTTAAAGCAATTGTATAATTTTTAATTATTTCAATGAGCCCGGTCGGTGGGGCTCAGTGGTTAAGCGTCTACCTACAAACCAGGAGGTCGAGGTTCGATTCCTGGTGAGGGCATACGCCTGGGTTGTGAGCTCGATCCCCAGTAGGGGGTGTGCAGGAGACAGCCGAGATGTTTCTATCTCCCTTCATCTCTGAAATCAATTAAAAATATATATAAAATATTCCAATGAAACATCTAATGGTTTGAAAAAAAAAGAAAGAAAAGAAAACCTGTACAGTTCTCAAACAACAGTGAAACATGACCTGGTTTCAAAAAATGTTTTTGCGCAATTTAAAATATTACAAGGAAACATCTGCCAGTTTCAAAATATGTGTGTGGGGGATGGTGACAAGGAGGATATGAGAATCCCCAGGACGGCAAAGGACACTATGAAAGAGGGGTGTCGTCCCACATGCACCCTCCCTCAAGACATTCTGGAGGTACCAAAAAGCTGCCCCACTGCCTGGGCCAGAATAACGTTTTTGCACAATTTAAAATATTACAAGGAAACATCTGCCAGTTTCAAAATATGTGTGTGGGGGATGGTGACAAGGAGGATATGAGAATCCCCAGGACGGCAAAGGACACTATGAAAGAGGGGTGTCGTCCCACATGCACCCTCCCTCAAGACATTCTGGAGGTACCAAAAAGCTGCCCCACTGCCTGGGCCAGAATAACAGAATAGACAGTCCAGAAATAAAACCTCGCTTATATGGTCAATCATGACAAACAAGGCAGGGATATACAAAAGGTTAAGACAGTCTTTTCAATAAATGGTGATGGGGAAAACTAAACAGATAGATGAAGAAAAATGAAACTAGGCCACTTTCTAACTCCATATGCAAAAATAAACTCACACTGGATTAAAGACTTAAATGAAAAAAAAAAAGGAAAAAACTTTTTGACACTGGTCTTACCAATAATTTTTATTTATTTAATTTTTAAAAATCCTCACTAAAGGATATATTCATTGATCTTAGAGAAAAAGAGACACACACACACACACAGAAATGGATGTGAGAGAAACTTCATCAGTTGCCTTCTATAAATGCCCCAACCAGGGATCGAATCTGCAACCATTTGGTGTATGTAACAATGCTCCAACCAACTGAGCCACCCAGCCAGGAGATTTTTGTAACATATTTCACTCTTCTTATAAATTCTACATGTCACCTATTTATCTAGCTTTATCTATACATATTCATCTCTCTATACAAAGTGAATTGAAATCATTGGCATTGATAATACTTCTGGTGTTGTCAGTCCTCACTCAAGGATATTTTTCCATTGATTTTTTAGAGATAGTGGAAGGGATTGAGGAAAGACAAAGAGAGAGAAACATCGATGTGAGAGAGACAGATCGATTGGTTGCCTCCCGCACGCACCCCAACCAGGGCTGGGGATCAAGCCTGCAACTGAGATATGTGTCCTTGACCAGAATCAAACCCTCAACCCTTCAGTCTCCACAGGCTCGCTCTATCCTCTAAGCCAAACCAGCTAGGGCCTACCAATCATTTTTAGATATTGTGCCCTAGGGCAAGGGAAACAGAAGCAAAAATAAACAAATGGAAGTATATTAAACTATAAAGCTTTTGTGCTGAAAGGAAACCATCAACAAAACAAAAAGGCAACTTATGAATGGGAGAAGACATTTGTAAAAAATTTATCTGATAAGGGGTTAATATCCTAAATACTAGTATATAAAGAACTCACACAGCTCAACATAAAAAAAGAAAATCCAAATGAAAAATATGCAGAGCCCTGGCTGGTGTGGCTCACTTGGTTTTGTTCCAAAAGGAACCCTAGAGCCCTGTTGGTGAGCATGCAGATGGGTACAGCCACTGTGGACTACAGTGTGGAGTTACCTCAAGAAATTTAAAATGGAGCCATCTTATGACCCAATGATTCCCTTTGGGAAATTTATCCCAAGAAACCTGAAACACTGATTTGAAAGAATGTATCCACCCTTAGGTTCACTGCAGTATTATTTACAATAACCAAGATATGGAAGCAACCCAAGTGTCCATCAATAGATGAGTGGATTAAAAAATTGTGGCACATATATATCTACAAATAGAATATTACTTGGCTATGAAAAAGAATGAAATTTTGACATTTGTGACAGCATGGATGGACCTAGAGTGTATTATGCTAAGTAAACTAAGTCAGAAAATTAAAAACTGTATAATTTCACTTACATGCAGAATCTAAAACATAAACAAAATAGAAACAAACTCATAGATACAGAGATAAACTGATGGTTGCCAGATAGGTGGAGGGGTGGATGAAAAGGTCAAGGGGATTAAGAAGTACAATCTGCCTATTATAATAATAATCCCATGGATGTAAAGTACAGCCTAGGGAATACAGTCACTAATATCATAATAACTGTGAATGGTGCCAGGTACCAGACTTATCAAGAAAAGCACAAGGTAAAGAAATGTCTAATCACTATGTGTACACCTAAATCTAATAGTGTATATCAACTATAATTAAAACATACTTTTCTTAAAAAAATAAAAAGCTTGAGTAAAAATTCACCAAGGCCTGGTGACTGGGGAGCCAGAAGCCAGGAGCTCTGCAGCCGTGATCCTGAGCACATTGTCACCCTGGCTCTCAGCTTGCCCCCCCAGCACACCCCTGCCCGGCCCACTGCCCCGGCTCTTTCTTGTCATTCTCCACCAGGAGCCACCTCTCAGCCCCTCTCACCTGGGTGCCCTGCCCCATCTGCCCCGTGCTACCGGATGCTTCTCTCTGCCTTCCCCTGCTGGTGTCTACGTTCTGGGTGGTATGAGACTGCAAGGACAATGACATCCAATCCATCTCCATCCCTTACAACTGCAAGGTCTGGCTCTCACTCCCCCTTCTGGCCCCTCTCACCATTATCTCTTCTCTGCAGACAAACTTTTTTTTTAAAAAAATATATTTTATTGATTTTTTTAGCTCCCCCTTCCGGCCCCTCTACCATTATCTCTTCTCTGCAGACAAACTTTTAAAATATATATAACTTTTTTTATTTCAGAGAGGAAGGGAGAGGGAGAGAGAGAGAGAGAGAGAAACAACGATGAGAGAGAATCATTGATCAGCTGCCTCCCGCATGCCCCACACTGGGGACCGTGCCAACAGGGAATCGAACGGTGATCTCTTGGTTCTTAGGTCGACACTCAATTGCTGTTAAACCTCACCTGAGGATATTTTTCCATTGATCTTTTAGAGAGAGGGAAAGACAGAGAGAAACATCCATGGGAGAGAAACACTTTGATTGGTTGCCTCCTGCACGTGCCCCAACCAGGGCCGGTCCAAGGAGGAGCCTGAAACCAAGGTACGTGCCCTTGACCAGAATCGAACCCAGGGCCCTTTGATCCCCAGGCGGATGCTCTATTCACTGAGACAAATTGGCTAGGGCCCTTCTCTGCAGACAAACTTCTCAATTCATTCCAATCAATGATCCGGGACGCCTCCAAGTCCACACCATCCTAAGTGGCTCGCAGCCAACTTCTCAGGGGAGGTTTTCCTTCTGTTTAAGCCCCACCCTTGCCACCACGCTCCTGCTCCTCCCAGCTGAGTGACCAACACCCTCAGTCTCTCTTCCTCTCCCTGCCCATCCTCACCCTGACCTCTCACTTATGCACACTCACAGGGACACCACACCCAAGAAGGCTGCCCACAGCTCTAGATAATGCTGTCTTGTTGTGACACTCTAGCCCAGTGGTTCTCAACCTTCCTAATGCTGCGATTAGGTCGACACTCAACTGCTGTTAAACCTCACCCGAGGATATTTTTCCATCGATCTTTTAGAGAGAGGGAAAGAGAGAGAGAAACATCCATGGGAGAGAAACACTTCGATTGGTTGCCTCCTGCACGTGCCCCAACCAGGGCCGGTCCAGGGAGGAGCCTGAAACCAAGGTACGGGCCCTTGACCAGAATCAAACCCAGGGCCCTTTGATCCCCAGGCGGATGCTCTATTCACTGAGCCAAATTGGCTAGGGCTCTTCTCTGCAGACAAACTTCTCAATTCATTCCAATCAATGATCCGGGACTCCTCCAAGTCCACACCATCCTAAGTGGCTCGTAGCCAACTTCTCAGGGGAGGTTTTCCTTCTGTTTAAGCCCCACCCTTGCCACCACGCTCCTGCTCCTCCCAGCTGAGTGACCAACACCCTCAGTCTCTCTTCCTCTCCCTGCCCATCCTCACCCTGCCCTCTCACTTATGCACTCACAGGCACACCACACCCAAGAAGGCTGCCCACAGCTCTAGATGATGCTGTCTTGTTGTGACACTCTAGCCCAGCGGTTCTCAACCTTCCTAATGCCGCGACCCTTTAATACAGTTCCTCATGTTGTGACCCAACCATAAAATTATTTTCGTTGCTACTTCATAACTGTAATTTTGCTACTGTTATGAATTGTAATGTAAATATCTGATATGCAGGATGTATTTTCATTGTTACAAATTGAACATAATTAAAGCATAGTGATTACTCACAAAAACAATATGTAATTATATATGTGTTTTCTGATGGTCTTGGGCGACCCCCGTGAAAGGGTCGTTCGACCGCCAAAGGGGTCGAGACCCACAGGTTGAGAACCGCTGCTCTAGCCCGTACCTGAGCAATCTCCTACTGCTTAACCATCTCCACCCTCTGATCCTCTCCTTCTTTGTCTGGAGGCACCCACGGGACAGGTCTGGGAGCACCCACTCTGCAGCCAGACTGCTTGCCTTTTTTTTTTTTTTAAAGAAGTTTATTGATTTTTGGAGGGGAAGGGAGAGGGAGACAAACATCAATGTGAGCGTGGAACACCGAATGGCTGCCTCCTGCACAGCTCCTACTGGGGATCAGGCCAACAACCTGGGCATGAGCCTTGACCAGGAATCAAACCGGCAACCGCATGGTGCACAGGATGACACCCAACTCACTGAGCCACACCGGCCAGGGCCAGACGGTCTGCATTCAAGGTCCCAGCTCGACCACTGCCTCGGTAGGACCCCACAGATGTTAACCCCTCTGGGCCTGTTTCCTCATCTGAAGACTTCCGGAAGAACAGCAAGCTCTGCCTCATGGTGCTGCTGTGAGAATTAGATGAGTTGAACCCTGAGCTGACACACCCAGTACGGGCACAGCACATTCATATCAATTACACACAAACATGAAATTCTCCTTCCGTATTGCATGCTGGACCCGGGAAGGGTCTGGCTGGGACCCTGTAGGACAGGGGAGGAGGCTCCTTTCTTTACTTTTCCAATTTCCTCTTTCCCTGATTATGGGGTGGGGTTTGAAGGGCTGCCCCAGGCTCCCTGACACCGCCATTCCCTCCTCCACATCTAGCCATACCCCCTATAGCATCCTCAACTCAACAGAGCTGTTACCAGGATTCCTTCTCTATTGTTCTGTGACTTCCTTCTGGGCGCCTCATTAGAAATGAAGTCTTGGCTGGCAGTTCAGTTGGTTAGTGCGTTATCCCAATATGGCAAGGTTGTCGGTTCAATTCGGGTCAGAGTAGATACAAAAATTAACAAATAAATGCATAAGTAGCCTGGCCGGCGTGGCACAGTGGTTGAGCATTGACCTATGAACCAGGAGGTCATAGTTTGATTCCCACTTAGGGCACATGCCCAGGTGGCAGGCTCGATCCTGTGTGTGTGTGTGTGTGTGTGTGTGTGTGTGTGCGTGCGCGCGTGGGGGGGTGGCTTGGAGGAGGCAGCTGATTAATGATTCTCTCTCATCAAAGATCTTTCTATCTCTCTTTCCCTTTCTCTTCCTCTCTGAAATCAATAAAAATATCTTTTTTTTAAAAAACCACATAAATAAGTGCAACAACAAATCAATATTTCTCTCTCTCTCTCTCTCTCTCTCTCTCTCTCTCTCTCTCTCTCTCTCGAAGAAAAGCCTGGCCAGGTATGTCAGCTGCTTAGAGCATACACCAAGATTGCAGGTTCGATCCCCCAGTCAAGGCACAAACAAGAATCAACCAATAAATACATAAATAAATGAAACAACAAATGACTAATTCTTTCTCTCTCCCTCTCTCCGTCTCCCTCTCTCTCCCTAAAAGCAATCAATAAATAAAATAAAAAGCAATGGAAATGCAGAGCGCCTTCAGCCATTTCCCCTGCCCTAACACTCCCCCTTGCACTGAGTTATTTCCAAAGCCACAGGGTCCCACTCCCAGGGGCTCTCTGAAACCAACAGGCAAACCCTCAGGCCCAGGACAGCTTCAGCTCCCAGTCCTGCCCGACCCTCCAGCCCCTAACTTGGGGCATCAGCACTCACAACCAACGGAGGCCCCCAACACCCAGGGACAGGTGTTTGCTGACGCTGTTTGCTCGGGCCGGGCTCCCCTTCTTCTTTGTTCACTTGGACAACATACACTTTCTCTTCAGACTGTGTACAAAGTTCACCTGCCAGTGGGAGGAAACGTGGCTAAGTGTTCTGGGGCCGGGTGTCTCTAGTCCAGTGATGGCGCACGAGCCTTTTGAGCTCGGCGTGCCCGCATTTTGAAAAACCCTAACTTAACTCTGGTGCCGTGTCACATATAGAAATGTTTTGATATTTGCAACCATAGCAAAACAAAGACTTATATTTTTGATATTTATTTTATATATTTAAATGCCACTTAACAAAGAAAAATCAACCAAAAAAATGAGTGCGCGTGTCACCTCTGACACGCGTGTCATAGGTTCGCCATCACTGCTCTAGGGCAAGGGTGGGGATGTAAGGGTGGGGGGCAGCACTCCTGGAGAACTTTTCTAGTTCATGGAAGCCAAACAGAGAACACACCTCGAAGCGAGATCTCCGCAGACTGACAAAGGGCTTTCCAGGAATGAGCTTCCAGCTTCTTTTAGGCCAGTGGCGGGCAAACCGCGGCTCGCGAGCCACATGCGGCTCTTTGGCCCCTTGAGTGCGGCTCTTCCTAAGCCTTAGGAGTACCCTCATGAAGTTAATAAAAACGTACCTACCTATATCGTTTAAGTTTAAAAAATTTGGCTCTCAAAAGAAATTTCAATCGCTGTACTGTTGATATTTGGCTCCGTTGACTAAGGAGCTTGCCGACCCCTGTTTTAGGCATTCAGAACTAACCCTTTGAGTGCCAACCAATATCCTAGGGACTATGCTAAAATTGCCAAGGCATTTTTGCTGATTTTACAGCAGTTTAGGAAAAAAAAAATTATGAATCGCAAGTAAATGAAGTTACATATTCAAAAACTTAAGGAAACCTTTACTCCATTTGCTTTCATCTTTGACCTATATTGCTTGCTGATTGTATTATAAAATACTAGTAGAAAAAAAAATTTGAACAAAACATATAATGCTAAAATAAAGCGCTCCCGGCACTCTAGGGGTTAAGGAAGGAATATTCGAAGATTAGTGCGAAGAGGGGAAGGGAGGGGAGGAGGAAGCAAGACAGGGATCAGGGATGACACAATATTCAACCACAAAAGGCATTTCAAAGGTGTGCTAACCCTGGTTCACTACAAAACAGCCCTGGGGCGAGACCACCTGCCAGGACCTGGGCTCGGTGAGGAATTTATGACCCTCTTATCTTACGACCCTGAGGGGTCACTTTTCACAGGACTCCTTTCTTTATCCACAAGGAGGACCTGCACCCAGAGCCTCCCGGGGGTGGGCAGTGTGGTTTAACCCTTTGAGTGCCAACCAATATCCTAGGAACTCTGCTAAAATTGCCAAGGCATTTTTCTTGATTTTACAACAGTTTAGGGGGGAAAAAAAATTATGAATCGCAAGTAAATGAAGTTACATATTCAAAAACTTAAGGAAACCTTTACTCCATTTGCTTTCATCTTTGACATATATTGTTTGCTGGTTGTATTATAAAATACTAGTAGAAAAAAAAATTTGAACAAAACATATAATGCTAAAATAAAGCGCTCCCGGC